TCCAGACTAAAACTACTATTGCTGCAACAGAGATGTGCTTTGCATTTCTTCCTCTATTACCACTTAGTGCAAAACTAAGATCTTTGAAAATTGTTTTATACTTCAGCCCTTGTAATCTAGGAACCAGGTAAGAGGTAATCATATTACTAGCTGTGATAGGCTTAAGCAGGGAAGAGTTTTCCCCATGGGTAATGAAATGGGCATGTTTATAAAACACTGTCACAGTTTTCTCTCTGTAACAGAAAAGTAACTTCCCAAGTAAACACAGCAGTGACACTGTGTAGGGGCAGAGCAGCAAGTAAAAAGCTATTTAGGTACTAATAAGAGTTAATGAATGCACTGAGTGGAATTAAGACTTTACATGCAGAGAAATGAGTAAGGAAAAGAATTCAAATGGTCCATAACTCAGAAATACAATCATGTGTCTTTTCAAGCACATGAGCAATTCCATTAAACTAATCTGCTTTAATTCCATTAGGCTTAGAGAGACTATTCATATGCTTAAACTCAAAAAATGATTAATTATTTCCCTAAAATATGGCCCAGCCAAGAATGAATAACAGAAACAAATGTTGTATGTATGAATTTAAATGTTTTAAGGTATTCAACTCAGCCTTCTGTAAACTAAAACATTCAAATTAGCTTTCCGATGGAAAACCTGTTCCCTGGGTGCAAAATATCCTCACAAAGTAACATTCGAATTGTTACACAAAATTATTTTGCTGAGAGTCAATAGCTGATCATCTAATAAAAGGCTCAAATATCATAAATCACAACTAAGTGAAACAGCTCATTTCCTATACATGTTCAGCATCCTTCAGAAAACAATGGAAAAAGCATGTTTTAAAGTAAATTCAAGTAGTAGATGGAAGCTGATAAGAATTCTTTGGTTAGCTCTTGCCAGTGAGCTGCTCTTGCATATAAATTATAAATTGGAGTTTATATGCATATAAATAAATTATATTTATGCCACTCCTTCAGTTTATCCTATATTTTATTTTGGGGGTGCTATTATTTACTTTAAATAAACAAATAAAAAGACACGTCCACAACAATATCTCTGAAATTAAAGTGTCCAGCAAGGTACTGTCTGATACCTCTGCTGTGACAAGCAGCAACAGATTCTGAGGAGGCCAACCAGCCCATAATGTGCTGCACTTCATTCTGGTTGAAGTGTGAATGGGCAAGATGAATAATGAACTACTTCTATGAAAAAAAAAAAAAAAAAAAAAAGAAATTTTATTCACAGCTTACTATCCTATTTTCTCATTTACACATGAAGTTTAACAGATGCTGCCTTCAGAGCTGAGCACTGACTCACTCTGATACATATTCAATACTTGCATTTGAGACGACCTGTTGCCATATGGAAAATCAGGAACAATTACTCTAAATAATTACATCAGTTTATTACTGTCTGTTTCCAAGAGAAACAGGCCTTGTTAGTAATATGCACTTTCGTTGCCAAGTAACTTAATCTTTAGGGAAACTAAAGTGCTAGCATTCTCTAACAACAAATATCCTTTCTGACTGATATCATCATGGCTCATAACTGCATCTTTATGCTGACCATTTCCTAAAGTAATCTCCGCTCACTTAGGGTTGATGGCCTCGGAGGGGTGAGTTATCACACCTGGCTTCAGATGTTCACTGAAATGGTATCTGAGTATGAGCTGGTCAGTCTAGGATTCCCTCACAGCCACTTTTAAGGCGAGTGAGATGAACACTTAGCAGACCAGATCAACTGCATGCTAGAAGCCCCCATTTCTCCATGTATCAGGAGTCCTGGTGAAGAGAGAGCTCTTCTGTTCAGGGAGATGAATCCCAGGCAGGTGCTCTCCCATCCAGGCTGCCAGCAGAAATGGAAGCCAGTCCCTGTCAGCATGATTAAACTTCTCCTTTGGCAGCAAAGCCTGGCAAGAGGCAAGCCTGTTTTGGGGCCTGTTCTGCAAAACCTGTAGGCTGGGATTTTTAGACTACAACAGCTCTTCACATCTGAGCTCAACAGCAGCTCTGAGGGTAAGGCCTCTTAGGCAGGTGCTTAAAGGCAGATGTAAATATTGGCCCAGGCTTCCAAGGAAAGTCAAGCTGGTGCTGGCACCTCCTTCACACTTCTGCCACAGGCGCTTTCCCTGTTCTCCAGCCAGTTTTCTATGCTTTTCAGTTCATTATCACTTTTAAACTTTGAAACCCTACTGTTCAAGTGCGGTCACCCAAATTGTTGCAGACAGCAACTTACTGTTCCTCATTGTGCTTTCCACTTGAATTTCACTCCAGATTGAAAAGACAGCACTGAAATCCCTATTTTTTCCTCTCAAATTGATTGGGTTAAGCAGAGCTCTCCTCCACAGCTCCTTGCACTGCAGTTCTCTCTTTCTATCTTCAGCTTTCAGAAACCAGGAACACAGCCGAAAAAAAACACTTCTGCCTTATGCACCACCTGACTGGAGTAAACAACTGCAACATGGTGACAAAGTCCTTTCTTCTCTCACCAAAATCTCACTGTGTCATTTTAATTCAGTTGTGCTTCTAAGCAGTGCTTGATAAATTCTTCCTAAACATGCTGCAGTCTCCCCATAGCTAATATCAAATGAACTGCACTAGACAGATGGGTGCCTGACAGGCACTTTGTTTAAGGCTCATATTACACAAAACATTTTTTAGTCTTTAGTGAGTCCTCCCCAAGCCAACTGAACTTGTTGTTTCAAAACCTACCTTGTAGCCCTTGGTGACAGCAACTTAACAGAAACTACAGAGCCTATTGTGTTTTTCTGTTTTCTCTCTGCTCTGTCACTGATTGGTTTTGCTGTGCTTATCCACTCTCACCTGATAACAACCTCTGATCAACATCTAGGATCTTTTAGTGGTTGAAGGCTTGGATTTTTCACTATGAAAAGCATTTCCTTGCAGTTCTCAGAACAGAACTCTCTTTTAGTTTGGAAAATGGTAGCATGGACAGAATGATTTCACACAAGGCATATACACTTCTCACCTGTGTAAGGAATAGTGGTGACAAGAAATCCAGTTACAAAGGCCTAATATTTCTCTTTTTCCAACAGGCCAGTTACTCTCTTCGTGACATCCTCTGTACATGAAACTAATTAATCGTGCCTCACCACTCTGTTGAATCAGAGCATAGAAACTATCTAATATCTGATTTAGATAGATATTTATTCCCTTCTTATTTAAAATTTCTTCTGAGGACCCATTTCTGTAATGATATCTACAGAAAAAGAGCTATTCTGTATGTTTTGTTTACCTTCAATTACTTTAGATCTATGAGGAAAGCTGCTCTATCAGAACATATTGCCGCTTCACCAATAATTTCATTATTCAGTGTTTCCAGATATATCTTCCCATTGATTTGAATTTTTCTCTACCACTATCACTTTTGTTAGGTCAAATCCTACAACTGTAATTTAAAAGCAATTTGGCAGAAGAAGCATCTCCTAGCCAGGATATCTGGAGAAGCCAAATTTTCCGTACAGAACTCCACCATTCCAAATCTACAGCTGATAATATTTGAACTAAGAACATACACTCCTGATTAAAGAGCCTTAATCTTATTCCTAGACCAACCATCCATAAATTGTTTTATCTATGTAAATAGTAAATTGTTTTCTTTTAAAAATTAATGTATATTTTACTGTGGAGGGCACACTCTATGTTGAATGAAATCTCTGTAACACAAGCAAGGAAATACCCAAGCACACAGAGCAATCTGTGTAGCTCCTATTTATGGAGGTTGTTTCTTTGTCTTCATAATTCTAATAGTCTATACTATTGTCATTGACAATATACAGTTATTTGCTTCCTGAGGTTCTATATCTACTTAGTATTCTGAAAGTCACAGGTACTGAGCTAAACCTGAAGCAGCCATTTTAATTCCAGTCTTTTCATTTCTCTACAATGTAATTATCTTATAGATTTTTTGTATAGACTTAGTGTTTTTCTTTTTCTTCTCCTGGTGGATAAGAATAGAATTATTAAACTAGTTTCAGCTAGGTAACTGTCACCAATATTTAAAAATTAATGGCTTTTTACAAAAATCACATAAGTAATCCAAGCATAAAAATTATTCTTTATGACACCATTTCAGAGCAGTGGCACACAGTCTTATCATACAACAGACTGTGATGCAGAAACATTAAACATAAACCTTCATCACATTTTTCTTCTACCCAAGTTACATATTTTTTATTGTATACAGTGTCCTTTTTATATTTGGACTACAGCATCTTTAGGAGATACAAGATACAAAACATAATATTCAGCATCTTACTCTAAATTATACTAAATTATCTTCTTAACTATCCAAATGTAATCCTATAGACTTTAGAATCAGTCTTTTTCCTTGTGTATTCAAACACAGTGATGTGCCTACCTTACAATTCCCCCCTTGCTAGTGCAGGATTTTGAACATGAAACACTCTCAGAGAGGCCACCATCCCGAGAGAGTCAAGGCACCTTGTTATAAAGACACATTTGAATTTAAGCACACATTTAAATCCAGCGTAAGTCTGTGTGCTTTGCAGTATCAAGAGAATCTTAAAGATAATCATATGCCTAAATATTATGCTAAACTGTGGCTAGAAACAAGGCTTATTGCCTGAATGAGCAGAATAGTTGCAGTACCCCAGTACAGATTAATGCAGCTGTGTGAGATTTATCTTTGAATACAGCAGGAAGAGACTGTAGCATTAATCTTCATTAATAAAAGGGAAACTAATGAATCAGCAAACGCTGGAGACTATAGCAAAAATACTTTAGGAAGAAAAACACTCTAGCTCATGCTGAACCACAAGTCTCATCTTGTGCAGCATTCAGCTTTCACAAAATACATTTAAGAGAATTATATGTTACCTTTAACATTATTTGCTTTTTTAGTAAAGAGGAACAATAACAGTGTTCTGGGAGAAGTTCATGATACAGGTCTCTGTGACATCACATTGCTGGGGTGAGATTATTAACTTCTTATAATTTGAATGAGAAAAACTTACTTGAAGGCATTGGCATCTCCATGGACCTTATAGTTGTCTGCACTGATTCTTGAGATAACTCTTGTGACAGCAATGAGAATACCAATGTTGACCTGAAGAAGAAGGAACAAGACTTGGTCAAGAAAGTACTGACTGTGTCCAAGGTGCAGACCGTCCTAAGGGTGTGTTGTACAAATACAACAGAAAATAGGGGCTTCATGTGTTGTATTTATTTGACAAAAGAGGTTTCCAATTTTGGACTGGTACAGTTCAACCCTTGTCAATTGTTTTTCACATTCCTCACGTTGGGAAGTTCTTGCTTGTGCTTGTCTTCCTTAAGGAATAGTCCTTGCCTGTTTATAATAAGGCTGGATTGATATATTGCTTCACAGTTCAGATCCCTACTGTACAAATAAACACCCTAATAATCTACTACCAGCTGACAAATTAGGCAAGTCTTCAGTGAACAGGGGCCTGTGTCTGCACACTTTCTGGTTTTGTGCTTGCATGTCCAGTCTTCAGAAAGCAGCTTTCCAAACAAGACATTGCAGTGTACTATTCCCATTTCTTACCAAAGTCTTATTGCACTTTTATTAGAAGAATATTTTAAAACAGCAATGAGGAAAATAAGTTAAGCTTGACCTCTGCTCTTCCAAAGCCCTACTCTTTTCCATGCCAAGTCCAGCAGAAACATAGATAAAATGAAATTAAAAGAACTCCCACCAGAAAAGAAGGACATCTTGAACAGACTAACACTGAAAATATCTATCAAAAGAATCTGCTCTGGAGTCACAGATGAAGAGAGAAAGAAATCTTTATCACTTAAAGAAAATGTGGCAAAAAAAACTGTCTTGCTGTGCAAAGACCTTGAGTTTAAAGAAGAAAAACGAGAAGAGAGAATGTGAAGGTGAAAGATGTGTTTCCCCCTTCCTGACCAAAGTTACACATCAACTACAAAGTTGGTATTTAGCATCAGGTTAGAATAAGGATAGAACAAAACTGTTCTGAACTACAGAACCAAAAGAAAGAGAAGACATCAAAACAGTTCTGCTGCTCAGTTAAAAGTAATCATACTATATTTTGGCATAAATTTTCTAATTCTGAGGATGAAAGGGTGAATTAAAAATGCTTATGTTTATGATAATGGTATTTTTCAAATACCTTGATATTTTTCAAATCTTCTGACCACTCTTTTAATTTTAGATTTCTAATGGCAGATGATCACCTGGTGTAAAGCAGGAGCCCAGCTGTGATAGTTGATTTCTGCCTTGGCTTTTTAGCCTGTCCTAAGAACACCCTGTGGAACTGACAGCTCTACAATTACAAGAATACTTGGAGTTCAATCAGGCTGACAGATATTATAAAGAACTGAAATTCAATGGTCTTGGGATCATTTTCCCTATTCCCAAAAAAATCACATTTTGTTAATATATTTTATAAATTCTTTGAGGTGGTAACCAGCATTTTTGAGAAACACACTTACAGGCAGACTGATGCAGCAAAAAATGATTAAGTTACACTTTCTCTTCTCCAAACTCTCCAATTTTCTGCTGTATGTCCACCAAATATTCATCATCATTACTCCAGCTTTTCATGGGAATTGCACAGAAGATGCCTCTCTGCACCCTTAACTTCTTTCCTGACACTTTATCTCTCAGCAGCCTTTTTTAGTCTTTTATCCAAAACATCAGTCTCCCCTTCTGACACTTCCTTGTGGATGTTTCACTGACAGTTCAAGTTCATTCAGGCAGAATTGCTCCATGATCCGTTTGTCTGATGACTGCAGACAATAGCACACTCCTGCCAGCCTCAGAAATGCTCAACCCTGATGCTTTCTTCTATTCCTAATTCTTTTTAGTCACACCAAGATTTTTCTTTTTGCACATTTTAAAAAATAAGTAATTATGCCTAAATAATGTATAATCAAATGCTCCCCCAAAAAATCCAGTAAAGTATAAAATGTAGTAAAAAAAAAGTAAAGTAGCAAGTGAAGTAAAAATGTAAAAAGTAGATGCTAAATAAAAATATAACTACACCTCATTCTTAAAATTCTGAATTTCCTACATCTTACAAAAGTCAGTGAAATGTATGAATGATAGGCACCAACAAATGAATACTAAGAATCTTGCAAACTATCACTCAGACTGGACATGGATCCTAAGATCTGGGCATGAAAACAGTACAGGCAAGAAAATTAGTCTCAAAAGAGACAAATTAGATGGTTTTCTAAAGCAGGAACAGTTTTGCATTTCTAGTTGAATTCCAATTTCTTTTTATAAAATAAACTGAAAATGAATTTCCTAGGTATTTTGGATGGTCTAAATGGAAATTGTAAAAACCCTTGAGCTCATCCTCTTGTGCAGTGTGACTATCCTTTCCAGGGTGCATTAGTAACGTTTAAAATATGAGAAGGAAACACTGTGATCTCCCTGCTGATAAAAAAAACAAACAAGGTACTTGTAAAATTAGTAACTAACCATTACACTCAAGTCCCAAAGTTCTATATTTAAATTTCCTGAACCACTTGAAAATTTTTGCTTAGCTATTTTTGAGAAATCATAGTAATCTCATCCAGCAGATGAGATGTAGCCAAACAGATTGGCTACAAATGTCTTCCTTTGTTAGTATTTCAGTAAGTAAAGCACGGAGGTGTTTTCACTGCCCTCCTAATGGGAAACCAAAATACAGCCACTGAATTATCCCTCTAGTGATCTTTTTTGGCAACGGTTTGTATAGGAGAATGCTTACTTGATAAAACACTCATTATGCTTTAATCTATATCAGAATGTTCAAAGCAGGAGAATAAACACTTAGATAAGGCAATTTACTATTTGTTACTTTTCTGAAAAGCCAGATTACCTAACAGTTGCAGTTATTTTGCCTTAAAATTACAAAGGAACTTTGAATGTTTTTGCTTGAAGATACCGGCCACATTCTGCTTTTCAAAAAAATACAGCTAATAACATTAGCACTTGTTTCTTTAACTCACAGGACTTCTTTCCAGGCAGCTTGTCCAACCCCAGGCTCTCACAAGCCTCTGTGAAGTCAGCAGGAGCTGCCAGTTCCCATTAGTGCAGGCTTGATCCAAAGCCCACCAGGGCCCATTGAAAAATCCCAAAGATATCAGGGAGCTCTGGCTCACCGTGGAGATGACTTCATCTGACTAAAAATTGTCAGATCAGGAAGAGAGTTAAATGAGTAAAAAGGATCTCCTTCAATATCTTTTTCCATCAAAAGCTTGACAGACCAGATTCAGTGAGACAAATTCTTTCCTGCGGTTTGTTGAGGTTTTTTTTGCAAGGATTTCATGGAGATTTGCTCCAAGTCTCATGAGATTTTTGTTTCCTCTTTAGTGCAGTGCAGAAATCCCATGTGTAAAACCCTCTGATGTGGTGTGTTGCATCCTAGCCAAGAAAAACCTTGGCAGCACAGAGGAACCAAAAAAACCCAACACAATAAAACATATTTCCTTAATTAAATCCATTGACCAGCTTTCCTCTAAAACCACAAACTATTTTAGGCTCCACTTCAGCTTTGGGCAATGGTACAGGGAGTTACAACTGACTTTTCCAATCTGAGTGTTAATGTACTCTCTCATGGTGTGAGTTAATTTGATCCTTTTCATGACATCATGACACCAATGCTGCACGTTGTGGCAGTTGCAGCCCATTGCAAGGTCACATCAGGAATCATTGCTGGGTATTATGCATCTCCAGACTCAGATACTCAAATTATATTGATGTGGAAATCTGGGAAAATGATTTTGGAAAGCCTGATTCTACTCTTAGCTACCCCACAGCAACTAAAGATGGAATAGACTAAAGTGAGTTATTTTAGATTCTGTGTACATTATTTCATATTCAGGCCTGTAGTATCACACAAGTCAGAGCTGGATGTCAGAGCAAAGCTTTGAGGTTGGAAAGGAAACACACAAGAAAATAAATAAGAAGTAAAAGGTGTAACAGATCCCTGACTTCTACTCTCTCCTAATATTAATCCTTAATTTTAAAATTCTTACAGTCTGTTCCCCTGTTCAAAAAAGTGGTGTATGCTTTTCTCCTGGCTAAGTAAGAAGAAATTTAATTTTAAAATAATGAAAGAATTTAATTTTAAAGTAGTAAGTGCTCATAACCGAGTGCTAATAAGAAGAAATGAGAAGGTTAGCAGCTGTGGTCTGTTCATTTTTGTTCTAAGCCCCCACAGCACTTAAGTATGTATTTGATTTCTATGACTCTGAAGAATCCTGTTTCAGGGCTTTTAAACACTATGGGTCCAATTCTGTCACTTTTTCCCACAAATTGTCACTTCTCAATCAGTGGTCCTATCTGCAGAGTCAGATACTATTCAATACATGAAAATGATCCTAATTCTGCACTGGTACATAAAGTTATGAATAAATATCATAAGGCAACAACTAATTAATGTCTGATCAGCAGGTACAGGAGATAATAAGGGAGATCTTTTTTTTAAATATATATATCTAATATTCATAAGCAAGTACCAGCTGAAGACAGGGATGGAAATCTCAGCCTGGAACCCAACTTCCACAGAGTCCCATCTGAAGACACTGGTTACAAAGCAATGTCCCTGCAGCACATGTTAGCAATATGCTAATGAAACTCATTTAGCTCCCTAACAATGTTGTTTATAGGAAAGACTTGTAAAAAACCATCAGGAAAATAACTACTTAGAAGGAAAACAATTGGAAGGACTTGCCACCACAGCCCTGTGACGGGTTCTCACTGTCTGCAGCACACCCACTGCTCTGTGGACACAGATGCTTTCTGCAGAATTTCCTTAATTCTGCCATATCTATGGAAACACACCAAGGCAGCAGATGGCTGATAACAAACAAAGCCTCCTGCCAGAAGTTTTAATGTCTTGTTCCAAAAATTCAGGTGCTTTGTCAAGTTGGTTGTCGGTTTGTTTTTCTGTTCCTTTAAAGATATGTCCCAGGCCCACTTTGGCTGAGGTGAGTTTTGCTTTCAAATTAACTGCAACGATTTTTCAAAGCTGCCTTAGGAGGATGTTTTAGAGCCCGGAGTGTTGTGGTTTTGCGGGGGGAGTGGTCTTGAAACCTTAAGATGCAGGCAGAAGCCAAAAGACCTACCCACAGAAAAAAAATACTGTCATCACAACCCTTGACTCAAACCCCAAGAAAAGAGAACTTTGGGCATGGAAATCCATACAAGGCTGGGAGGTTCTGTGAATTACTCCCTAGAAAAGCATGTGAGTATTTTTTCCCTATCATGCTCACACCACATCATTCTTCTTTTTGGGCTCCCTTTTGCCTGCGAGGCTGTGGCAGGATAAAAGCAGACTGCATCTGCCTACTCCCCTCTTTTCTTCACAACATAATCCTTTTTCTTGGCAGAGAGAAACAGAGGATGGAAGTAGTCAAAAACTGCTTTTTGAGACGTATTTTCAGAGCTAAACACTAGTTCGTGTAACTAGTGGGCAATTTGTTATTTAAAGAGCACAGGCACACACACACAAACAATGTTTAGGCCTGTTATTTCCCTATAGGCACTAACTTATTTTTCAGCTAGCACAGTCAATGCCCAGAGAGAATAATTTGTCAGCTAGGTTGCTGCTATCTTGGGCAGAGCTGGGTTTAGACTATTTAACAAATTGCTCTATGTGGATCAACCTTGTGAGCTCATTTTTTCTCTTTCTCAAAGTATTTGTTTCCCTGAAAGAATATAACTTGTGTTGCACAGATATACAGTATAAGTGAGAGCCAGCCAGTTAAACCCTTACTTTCATTGGCAAGGAGCTACACATGCAAATTATTGAAGGCTGTGCTCACTCAGGTGAGTAAGTGCTTCACTCGCTGGCATGTTTTGATTAATACTATCCCTGGAAAGGAGCTGGGAAATATTTGATTTTACTGGTTGCCTGTCATTTCCTCCTTTGCTGCTGAACAATGGCCAGAAAGCAAGTGCTAAAGTGAGAAGACATTGCATATTGGATTAATTGCTTGCCTATCACAAATATCTACATATCTTTGAATATAAACTCACATGGACAAGGTCCAAGGTATAGGTCTACAAGAAACTAGAATAAAGTCTGGAGCTGTTTAGCCAGCTTTAAACCAGTGACCGACATTTCTTATTTTCTTGTATGTGCTTTCACTTAGGTAAAAGAGAACCTGCCCTACCCACATGGAGACTCTCCAGCGTTGTCATTAATAATTTTATTAAATTCCTACCATGGGGCAATTTCTGCCACATCAATATAGCAGCTGCTTTCATTGCTTTCCTAATATATGTTTATGTAACATAGTTTTTCAGAGGCTGTATCTTGGGGTGGAAGATGCTGGAGTAGGCTGGGCCAGGCTGTCTGTAGGAGATATTGATTTCCCTGTCTCCCAGGCAAACGTTAGGATGTTCACTCAGCTGCAGTGTAAAATTGCCTGTGATGGAAAAGGACAGCCAAGAAGCCACCTTCTGCTTGCCAAATGGTTATAGAGAGATGCAATGGTAAACACCGGTTCTATATGTACAGCTCCCCTTTCTTTTGCTTGTTAGCAGGATTTGTGAGGATTTTTCTGTTTGATGAATTTTGGGGAAGTTTCTTTGTGCTTTCCATGGAAATCTTAGCTTTCTTATGGAAGTACAATGTAGAGACAGTGGCTCCTTTTGATGCTACTCCATACAGGCAGTCCAGATCTTATTTATCTAGTCACCCTGAACATCACAGCATCTAGATTCTGGTCTAGATTTGGGCTCACACCTTTGAAATCTAAGTAAGGCTTTAAAGACAACCTGATTTCACTAATCAGTCTATACAATGTTCATACTGCCACTCTAATATCATAACCTGCAGAAAAAAAATCATAAATAACTTGATCAATTAAAGTATTGGAAACAGTGTTGAAGAAGAATAATCTCCCACTTAATCCATGCAAACACCTCTGACACCTTAAGTAAGCACAGTGATTAAGCTACAACTCACTGTAATTTAATGTGTGGGCATAATCAAATTGCTGCAGAGCATTAATGTATCAGTATCAGAGCCATGAACCTGGCACCCTCCCCTGGAAAGATGATGTTCATTAGAGCTGGCAGTGGTGTCTGCACAGCACCCAAACCCAGCACACTTGCCTGAATAGCCTTGATCAGCTAAACTGCCCTACCTGACACCAAATCCCTAGCCAGAGGAACAGCACACATTCCTTGTCACTGTGAGAAGGCAAATGCAGCTTTTTACCTTCACCAGAACTCACGCAAAAGGTGGCAGCTCATGTCATTG